TTTCAGGAAGTGGGTGGGACCATGCAGCACGGGTAACTCATTTTCAAAGCATATTAAGTGGGTAGAATTGGATTGCTGGCTCTGTAACGTATATAATCTTTGGTTTTTCAACTGGCACGCATTGCGAGTCGAAAGGGAATTTGTTCCAGAACAAACAATAACCCCATAGTTTGTGGAGGTTCCTCTGACTGGGAGGCTCAGTGCACCCTCTGCTATTTTAATATATTCCTCAAATATAGTATAAAAAAACTAATCGCATCATGATGTGGGTGGCTCTAGGTAGGTATATATTCTAATAGTTCTGGAACTATGGCTAAGCATTATGTCTGAAGAAATACTCCAAGGATTAGCCATAACCCATATAAAACCATAATTTGAAGTTGATTTGTAAATCATAATTTGCACTGACCAAAGTTAAGCAGCATATTTGAACTAATCCACACTCATGGCAGCACCTTCTTTGCTTGTACATTCATAAGGTGGTTTTGCTGGTGGTTTCTTACATGAATGCTGCTGGATATAATCCAGTGGTTTCATAAACAGTGGGTTCTTAACTAGGATTTAGCTCCAACCGTGATTTTTTTTTTTTTTTTGAGGCCTATCGACCCTATTTCTAAACTAAGGCAGTCATCAGTTCAGGCAGTCATCAATTCATGCCCTATAATACCTTTTGTGCTATCTATAAAGGATTGTAAACATTGTATTATTTTCACGTGGTACACTTGCATACTAGTCTTTGAATGGTATAATTAGATCTATTTACTGTTCTTCAAAAGTACCGAGATTTCATATTCACATGAAGAGCCATATTCTCATTGAATACTTTTCTCGGGAGGTTCAAAAAAAAGGTTATCAAAAGTGAGCCACAATGAACTTGTGGCAGTTCATTAAAAATCTAGAGGTTTGGTTGTGGATCTTCATGCTAAGGCTTTTTCTTTCTAGCAGCCTTTTTCATCCTGATATGAGAGGTGTCCACAGTGTAAAAAGTCAAGACGGCAACTGCAACAGAGCTTTGATTGTACCAGCATGGCCACCATCTTAACTTTTTTGACCATACACTTATGGACACCTTTGCTAATACCAAAGAAGGCCACATTGGGGAGGCTAGCTCTGACCTTGGGCTTGTTGAGCATTCTTCTATGGAAGTGCTATTTATACATCTGTGCAAGTAAAGCACATTCCTACAGTAGTGGTGAGCCTCTTTTGATCCCCTGCTTTTATGCAATTTACACACACACACTCCCCATGCTAGAGACATAATTCCACAAGTCAGTTTGGTAGCTAGATATCTCCACCAGTGGAGGTGTTTAGGGTTTTGGTTTTTTTTAACGAGGGCTATAAACCTATGTGGATGGAGGTGGTTGTTTCATGGGTAGAGTTCTTTATTATGATATAATTCTAATGATGGCCCAGCAAACAAAACACCAGACAGCCCTGGTATTTTCCTATGGCAACTTATGGACCATTGCACTTTTAGATAGACTATATGCAGTTGTATTAGCTTTAGAAGCTGTCCAGGTTCTGTTGCTTAGTCATGTTGCAGGAAGGGCTATATGGAAACTATCAGAATAGTATACAAAGCCCACCTTCCCTTAAGCTCTCAGAGCAGAAAGATACCGATGTCATGTCTCCATGTATGAAGTTTTACATGACTTCTACCTACCCACTGCCTGGGGATGGGGGAGAAATTCTTTATTTTTACAGTGTATAAACCTGTGTGGTGTTTTGGCTTATATGAACCACCAGGAGGCAATAAAGCACCAGTTTCATCTTTCTTGGGACTTACCAGATGTACATAGGCAGATCTTTGTATGGCATTCAGACCTTCAGAATCTGGCTCTGTACACCTGATGAGTCCCAATAAGAATGAAACTGGTCATATACTGCCTCCTGGTGGTCAGTATAAGCAAAAATATGTAGAAAATAGAGAGGTGGTAGAAAATACAGTAGAGAATCCCCCTCCCCCAGGGAGGGGTAGAAGTCATATAGAACCTTGTACAAGGGGAGATGACAAAATGTAGCATCTGTATCTCCCTGCTCTGAGAGCTTAAGAGAAGGTGGATTGTATATACCATTCTGAAAGATTTGGTATGGCAAGAAGCATATAAATGGGAAAGGGTTAACTTAACTTATTCCCTGTCAGGAGAAAGAAAAAAAATAAGGACTTGTAAAAGTATCTCTATTCCAGTAAAAATACCCTTATTTTTAAGCAACGTATAGGCTTACTGAATCTGTTCTGGTGGCAGCATGCTTTTTGGAACCATTGTGTCATGATATATTCACTTTGGCAGCCTTCTTGAGGCTTTTGTTGTTGTTGAGTAACTCCCTTGTATGGGTGTTCTTTGTCCTTCTACAGGTGCTGAAGGTAGTGTTAGAAGCGTGTTAAATGGATAGTGTGCCAACTTTTCTACTTAACTGATATAAGAGCTAAATCTGTATAGCTGCATTCTTGAGCTATAGTACGAGCCAGCATTATCTTACAGCCCTGTGATGTGGTTTTAAATCTCTTTGTAACTACTAGGTACTCTTCTCTGTTCTGAACAGTGAGTGGAATGGAGTATCCACTTATTGAACAACAAAAACGGTCTATTTGAAGAAGGTTGAATAAGGAGATCTTTAGGTTTCAACAGCTGTGCTCCACAGAGAATAATTCCTTCCAGTGATTAATCTGAGTAGTCAGATACTGTATCTATCAGCTTGGAACCAGACAGTGATTTCTATAGTCTTCAAATGACTTTTCCGGCACACGTAATTGTGTTTATAAGGAAGGTGTTGTATTAGCAAGGCCATACTTGTTAAGCAGTTCTTTGAAACTGTTTTCTGTGAAAACTTAGAGGGATTAGTAATTTGAAAATACTTTCGTTTGGGGATGTAGAAGCTGTAGATTGGCCTGTTTGGTGATAAAATGAATGTGAGCAACTGTGCTTCAGTGTGTGGCTGTTGACTTTCGTACTAGAGATACAAGCCAAAAATAGTAATACATTGTTATTAAGTATTGATTGTTTATTAAATTTGTATGCCACTGAATTCAGTTCAGTTATCTTTTTATAGTTTTTACAAACTGTACGGTTACAGAGCTCAAATTAACAGACTATATATTTTCTAAACAATTGATGGAAATAAAATGGATGAAACTAAAATGCAGTATAAATACAAGTAGTATAATACTAAAAAACTTAAATACTTAAAACGTCACTAAATTATAAAACCACTTTTGTGAATAGAATACTAAAAAAAACCCTGAATCGTTCTGATTCCCGACAGCTTACTACACAATAATGTGCAATAAAAACGTTGACTGCAAGAAAAGACACAAAAGAAAAAACAAATATCATAGAACCCTCCATAATAAGAAAAGGAGTGAGAAAAAAAAATAATAAAAAATTTACTCCACAGCCCTTATAAAATTAGCTCAAAACTCTCCAAACCAAACAGTAATAATAAAAACCAAACAAAACCCACAATGAAGAATAAATAAAAAGAGGAACAATCTGGTTAGGGTTGGCAACTTTTATTTTTATTTGCCCCCCTTGTGCGACTCTATCAGAAATTGTGTGTATAGGTATTTCTATTCCTGTCTCTTCCTGCCCGCTTAAATAATCGGTTAATTGTTCTGATTGTCTAGTTAACAGTAATATTTTGCATATAGATAGAAACATTTCAGGTATATTGAAGTACTGGGTTTTTTGTGTAATAGGAAAATTGCTTAGGAGCAAAAGAGCAGTTGAACATTTCCATCCGAGAAGCTGATCATATGCACTGTCTCATCTTTTCAGTGTGTATTTGAATAGGATGAGACAATTTTGTTGAACCTGTTCATTGCATTCAGAGCTTAATGTTGGTACTGTTATCTGTTGTTTATGGGTAAGGGCTCTTGTATGTGTAGGTCCAGTTGCTGTCACCCTTCTCCTGTGACTTATAATCAAAGATGGCTGTATGCAAATCCCACTGATTTGACAGCATCTCTCTGCACCTTTTTCTTCTTTGTCCTGCCCCAAGTTGTGAAAACAGCAGCGGTTCTCAAATATTTTGGTTTCAGGACCCTTTTGCATTCTTAAAAATGATTGAGGGCCCCAAAGAGCTTTGTTTTATTTGAGTTATATCTATCGATATTTACTGTATTAGGAATGAAAACTGAGAAATGTTAAACTATTTATTTATTTCACTTCGCGGACCCCCTGAAAGGATCTTGAGGTCCCCAGTCTGCATTTTGAGAACCGCTGCCATAGAGTCTACTCAGAAGTAGATGTTTCAGGTCATGATTGTCATCATAGAGACACATCAGCTCTAAATTGATACTGGTAGACCAAAAGAAGATGTGTAGTAAGTAGCAGAGGATAAGTATGTATGCTTCGGAAGTACGCTTTTCATTGGGAGTTGTGGGGATTTGCATTAAAGGGAGTCCCCAGGTTAAGAACGCCCGGGTTACAGATGACCCATAGTTAAGAATGGAGCCTATAAAATTCGAGTTAAATACAGAAGGTTCAAGTTCATTACACAATACTACTTATACAGTATTATACAACAATATTGTTCTGGCTTACATACAAATTCGTCTTAAGGACAGACCTTGGGAACGGAACTCATTCTTAAACTAAGGACTACCTGTATTGCTTTCATTTTTGAGGAAGAAGTAGACAGGCTTCATTCTGCAAAAGAGACAAAACTCATAGATAATGCAGTTTGGATTTTCTCATTATGGAAGAATGATTTTGACATCGATAGAGTTCAGAAAGCACCATTTTAAAAGTCTTCCTCTTTTAAAAACTGAGTTCCTAATCTTTATTTTGCTGAAAACATGCAATCCCTGCTTAGTGTAACTAAGGATGTGTAGAAGGCAGAGCATACTGTCTTATTATTCAGAATGGACCTTTCTGGGCCCTTCCCTGTCTTTAGCAAATATAAGTAGTTATATAATATAAGCCAGTGACAGCATGTGAATATAGATATAAATAAGTCTGTGCCTATCTAACAATCTTTTTCCCCCTTCCTTTCTCTAGATTAATTATGCTTGTGGAATAAACGAAGCAATTATTGATGAGCAAAATAGTAGACCAGAAGACAGGCAGACTGGAACAGATCAGCTGCCAGGAGGGCCAGTTGCTGAATTGGAAGCATGGAGGAGGGGATTAATGGAAAGATGAACCAGGCCCATGTCCTCTTTGACCGATTTGTCCAGGCTTCCACCTGCAAAGGGACTCTGAAAGCCTTTCAGGAGCTCTGTGATTATTTGGAGCTGAAGCCCAAGGATTATCGTATGTTCTACCACAAGCTCAAATCCAAGCTCAGTTACTGGAAAGCAAAAGCTCTTTGGGCCAAGTTGGATAAGAGAGGCTGCCACAAAGACTATAAGAAGGGGAAAGTATGCGCCAACACGAAGGTGAGCATGGAACAATGGCTTACATTTCATTAACTCCTACTTATAAGAATGGCTTCCGTACGCTATATAGTTAGTTACATGTAGATGAACTAAAGCAACAAGCTGCTATTTCCCATAAGGCTCGTTGCATTTGTCCATGGTTTACTATTTTGAGCTGTGCTATGCTGTGTTTCAGTTAAGATGGGGATAATGCTCATTTAATACTTGGATTAAATTAAGCTTTGGAATCCATCCTTAAAAAGGAAAGATCCTGATTGCTTATGCTTGCTTGTGCTATTTGCTCATCTTGATTTGTGTTTAATTAACAGTCTGAAATCAGTTCATACATTATTGCCTTCCAGTGTTGATTACTGATGATTTTGCTTGAGCAATCAAGTGATGTACACGAATAGATGAAACAACTGTTATGAATGGTAGTTTGTCCCCATTGCATCTATTCTATCACTTAAAATGTTGCTTGGCTTCCAAAACGGTGGTTGGAGATCTCAGTGTTTGTTTAGAGCAGTGTTTCTCAACCTCAACAACTTTAAAATGGGTGGACTTCATCTCCCAGAATTCTCCAGCCAGCATGCTAATGTTGCTGAGATTGAGAAACACTGGTTTAGAGCAATGAATGAGTCAGGCCCCATTTAATTGTGGAGATCATTAGATAATTTAGAGCTACTCACTGTCTCTCAGTTGAACAGGTAGAGGGTTTTTGAACAGAATGAGAAAAGATCTCCCTGTGTACCTTCTTGAGCATCATCAAAGAAAAGCCAGGTAGAAAACAATAATAGAATAAATTAAAAATAAAATTAATAGGATTAAGAGCTGGTGCATAATGCACACTGTACATTTTCAGCAACATATATCTTTTGAAGTGGCTAAAGTAATGTAATGGTAAGGTAGTAGATTATTCTGCCTACATTCTGGGCTTGTTCTAAATGTACTGCAAGTTCCCTGTTATTTCTCTTTTTTTAAAATAAGTGCTCCTTACTAATACCTGTTTTACTTCATTTCAGTCAAACAGTGAAAAAACTGTTTAAGTTTTCAGAAAAAAAAATACTATTTTGGGGAGAGGGTATTAGGCCGTTTAGCAATATATTAGACAGGGAAGTGTTTATTTTATTTTTAATTTTCTATTTGGATTCTGATCTTAACAAGGCTCTCTTGAATAATCAAATAGCCAGTTTTATATAAAATAGTGTAAACTTAACTTACTCTTTGAAAATTTCAATCCATCTTTTAAATGGCTGACTTCCTTGATCTAAACTCCCACTTCTGTCAGCAAATCCTCTAGGAACTGTTCTGGGTTCTGTCAAACAAAGTCATATTTAAACAATGATTCACTTGAACTTGTGGCCTGCTCTGTGCCAGCGATGAGTAGAGAAATGGCCAGCAGCTGTGTTTGCTTCTGTTCCTTATGTGCAGTAACTACAGGTTCCTAAGAGGAGTACAGTTCGCTGTGTCCTTTGGAGACCATCTGTGCTTCATCTCTCAGTATCCTACTTTCAGCCTTATGGTTTCTGTTCTGGCTGCCTGGTAGTCTAGGGACGCATATCCAAATATGTCTCCCATAATGAAGTGAATCAAGGATCATGATTACCCAATAGGAAGACAAATGTTTTCTTCCAAAGAATATAAAGGGGAATGAAGAGGTACTTTTACATTCCACTGATAAGAAGAGAAGAAGCTGTTGAAAACCAAGGGATGGGCAGGAGAGAGAAATGACTGTAAACACCACTGCTATGAAGCATGGTGCCTTTGAAGATTAGCCTGAAGATTAGCTGGAGGGGGTGTCTTCCTGTGGTTTCCAGATCTCTCTCTATCTGTTCCATTCCATTGTTCTCCCCTCTCCTCTTCTGGCCCGGGTGCAGTTACACCCTTTTGCCCTTACCCCCCCCCTTTTTTTTTTTTTGCTCTTTCTGCTTAAACAGTGGAGGCCAGGGTCTTTCAGACACAGAAACATATGATACAGACACAGTGTTTTGAGTATGCAAGAATGAATGGTCTGTACAGACAGGGATCAGTTAATTTTGTAAATGTGGTGTCTTGATTTACAGCCAATTAATTATAATTGTTCCAGATGCTTTTTGCTTGTTTGTTTTTAAAGAACATGAGTTTTACATATTTGGACACATTTTGGGGGTGGGTGGGAAAATCTCCAGGACTGGTTTCAGATTAAAATCGGTAACCCAAGTTGGTTGCTAGGATGGAGAAGCTAGGCAAAAAACAGGAGTTTTGTATGTGCTGTTAATTTGTTCTGATTTGTCTGTCTAGTCTTCCTTCTATGGGATCATCATAAATAGAATAAATAAATAAATATATTTAGGGTCATCTTCCTTTTGGGTAAATACAATATTCGCTTTGTAACATTGAACCACGGTTGGCCCCCCGGTATTTGCTTATACAAATATTTGCTAGAATATGTCAGATGTCTATATTGTCTTGGATAATGTCTCTATAACATTTTTCTCTCACCAATTTTATTTTATTCCGGTAACACCAAGAGGCAGAAGAGGGTAAGAAAGTAAAAAGGAGGTTCTGAGTTTCACATCCAGGATGTGGCCAGCATATGCAGCAGAAAGAGAGTCCTGAGATAATGGAATAGGCTGTTGTCACTTCTGATTGCAGATGTGGGTTGCGCTTAATACTTCCCTAAAATTAAAACTCCTCTGCAGATAAAGACTAGTGCAACCGAGACTAGCACAACAGAGACTGCGCTTAGAACCTCTCTCTCTGATTTGTTCCCCCCCATATTTTCAAGGATCGATCTGGACAAGAGGGATCATTCCCAAGTGGTACTCCTATATGACATCTGAAGTTACATGTTTTGCTCCATCACATTACACAGCTGCATGACCCTGTTTGGCCTATTGGAGGGTGTGATTTGACCTTCTGGACAGCTACAGGTGGCTAACCAGATGTTGTCACTGGAAAGAGCAGAGCCAAATTGTTTTAGCTTAGTTGGGAGGGAAGGGGGAGTGGAATGCCTTTGAGAAGCAAGCTGCTCCCATCCTCCCACCTCCAGTGGTCTGTAAACTAACTGCTGAAATTTGGTGATTTTGCTGCTGAAATCTGAAGTGTTGTGGGGGACAAATGGGTATCTCATTTAGCCCACAAGTTGCAACTTTCCTGCTGTTGTAATACAGCTGTCCTTGGCCTGGTTTGGTTCGGCTTTAATTGGGGCACTTTGGAAGTTATTTGAAGTTTTATAGAGGGTCTGCCTTGGGGCTGCAGGGCCATTGTAAAGGAAGGTATAATCTTCATGAACATCTGCAACTTGAAAAGTTTCTAGGTTGGATTTGTGGCCTCTGCCACTGAGCTATACTCCTCCCAAAATATCTGATGTCTGAAAGTGGAATCCAGCAATTCTAGTAACTGCTTATTTGAAGTCGCATCCACTTGTATGTCAAACAGATTACGTGTTGTAGGGCTGCATTATTTTTGCAAAGCAGATGATACATGCAGGTAGTATTAACTTTTCTAACTTAGCAAAACCATGCTGTACTGGAAATTGTGGTCTGGAATCCTGAGGTTTCTTGATATAGCTAAACTGAGCTTTTAAAATTACTAGCCTTGTTGTTATTATAAGTACTTACACTGAAGCAGTGACACTGTTTTGCAGCCATAAGTCCAGAAAGCTTATCTCAGGGATACAGATATTCTTCAATATCTGGTTCAACTTCTTCCTAGTTTCTGGTGCGTACAAAGTCTGTGTGTCTGTGTAATAATGCTGCTTCTTTCCTTCTTTTCTAGTGTCTCATTATTGGGGCTGGACCCTGTGGCCTTCGAACAGCCATTGATCTCTCCTTTTTAGGAGCAAAGGTGGTGGTGATAGAAAAGCGTGATGCCTTCTCCCGCAACAATGTTCTGCATCTGTGGCCGTTTACCATTCATGACTTGAGAAGCCTTGGTGCCAAAAAGTTCTATGGCAAATTCTGTGCAGGAGCCATTGACCATATCAGTAAGGCCCACTTACAGGTGGAAGGAGTGGATATTATATGATGTCATCATAGTAAAGGATGGGTTGTGTCAGAGGTTTCATGGAAGAGGTAGACTTGATAGAGAGAGAGAGATGCTAGTGTGAAAGTCCAGGTATAAGGCATAGTTGAGGAGGAAGGAATGAGTAAATTAAAAGGTGACATTTGGAAGTGTCACCTGATACACAAAATATTGTTGTTTTGTATACTACCAACTTTAATAAAATCTTCTAAAAAAATCAAAAATATGCCTTTATCCCAGTAGTGATTCTGGGATCCACAGGGTAGAAGGCTGGACGTTCCAGGCCTCCTATCCTAAAACTCCTCTGGGTTCTCATTCTCTAGTCCTGTGCCCTGCTTTAGGGTAACAACTGGGTATTTCCTGTTGCCACCACCCATCATCCAGAGCATCTCACCTGGCATCTACCCCCTAAGCCCAATAAGAGAGAGTGGAGGGGAGATCTCACACCCTGTGTAGCTTTTCTGGTGATTAAAAGATCAAAATGCAAAAGATGAAATAGTTTCTACAGCATCTCTTCCTGGTTGTATATCATAAAGGTATGGTGACTAGAGGATTCCCCCCTCTCCCAATTGATCTGACAGAAAGTGAAGAAAATAAAGCAGTTATAAAGTAAAATGGTGAATCTCCTTTTTACTTGCAAGTCTTAAAATGAAAGCATGCAGTGTGGGAAAAGATAAATTCAGAGAAGCCCAGATCATGATAATACAGTACCTTACAAATTCATTAAGAAAGAACATTCCAAAAGAAAATGCAGTGTTCTGGACACACCACCAGGTGGTGGTATCTGCCACAGATGTCTGAAGAGACTGTAGTGAGTTCAAAATACAGGTAGTCCCCAGGTTAAGAACGCCCGGTTTAGGGACTACCCATAGTTAAGAACAGAGCCAATTGTAGCAAAATTTGAGTTAAATACACGATGATTTGAGTCAAATACACAATGGTTCGAGTTCATTACACAATACTACTTATACAGTATTATACAATAATACCAAAATACAGGTAGTCCCCAGGTTAAGAACGCCCGGTTTAGGCACTACCCATAGTGAAGAACAGAGCCAATTGTAGCAAAATTTGAGTTAAATACACGATGATTTGAGTCAAATACACAATGGTTCGAGTTCATTACACAATACTACTTATACAGTATTATACAATAATACTGTTCCGGCTTACATACAAATTCAACTTAAGGACAGACCTTGGGAATGGAACTCGTTCTTACACTAGGGACTACCTGTATTGCAGTTCATAAGATTATTAAAAAAAGTTACATCTTCATGAACATAACCTGAAATATAAATGACTGATGAAATTAAACACCCCGGTCCATATTTTAAAGATAGTGCAGAACACATTTTTATTTAGTAATTAGTTAACAGTTACCTGATACG